TTTCCCGTCGTCACCGCTAGTGCAGGTGGTGCGGGGGAACAAAGCGGAACAGCGCTTTGCTGCTCGCCCTGCTGCGCGGGGTGAGGGTAGAGCCGGGATCCGGGGGGGCTCAGGCTTATGCCCAGGCTTGGATCCAAGGGATGTGCAGAGAGCAAAGGCGGGAAGCTTCTGCTCCCAAGGGACACGCGTGCCGAGTGTTTTGTAAGAGGACAGAGCAATAAATTGAATGTTTGATGCAACAGGGAAACGTTAGAACAGTGACTTGTGAGGCTTCACCGTGTGCCCTTAAAAACAAGTGAGCAGGGTGGGATAGCACAAAACTGCAGCACTATGCAGACCGTTTGTGTCAATGTTTTCTTTTAAAAACAAACTGCTTAAAAATAACGTCTTAACCTGGAGGCAAACTCAGTTCTGACATGAAGGGGAAAGCAAGAGGATTCATTGCTTCTGCTAATTGCTCTGGCAATTTTTTAGGTTCTAGATGTAGGAAATATGAACGACTGGCAGAGGAAAAGCCCTCTAGACTGGGAAACATATGTGAACAAAATGGTGAAAGTTGCTGCTGTTGAGAAGCATGAATATGAAGGATGGGTCCTAACAGTTGATCCAGTTTCTGCCAGGTAAGTACCAAAGCTTTTGTTTCTTGTAAAGCTTCTTAGCAAGTTTTTTAGAAAGAGAAAAGTTCCCAAGACTGAAGCGAACTTATTTGGAGCAAAATCTGCAGGTTGGGACTATGTGTCCTATTTTTTTAATTCACAAGGCCTAAGAGAAAGCAGTATTCTAGCTGATGAGGCCAGGTCACCTAAATCCACTTTAAACTCATCCAAAGGACCGTTAAGTTTGGAGAATGGATAGTATCAGGATTCATGCTCACTTTATGGTGGACCTGACCTCAGTACTTTAATTGATACCAATGTGTTTAGAACTAATTTTAATAATATACGAAGCCCTGCTTTACAAACAGAACAGGAATGGAGGAATTTTTTTAGTGCTTTAGATGTAAAGGAGTTGCTTATCATTTTGGTGGGAAATGTGCCCACAGCTGTGAGTGATTGTGGGGATGGCTCAAGCTCAAGTCATGGCACAGTTCATTGTGTATTTCCTAAAAAATCATTACATCCACTAATGGTGGCAACAGTAGATTAGCGAAGTGCTGACATCAAATTCTGGAATTGTTCTTCCCACGAGAGGAAGAAGATAGTTTCTGATCCTCTTCGTTGATATACGGGGAGGAGATCCTAAAAATATAACAAGACATATGTTGGGACTTCTGGGATGTAATTGCCCTTGGGAAAAGACCAGACTGCTACAACATGAGCCTGAAACTACTGTGATGTCTTCCCATTGTGATATTCAAGCTGTAGTTTTCAGTTAAGAAACTAGAAACACTCATTAAAAAAAATAAATTGGGAATGATCAACAATTAAATAATAATTTGTCATTAAAAGGGTCTGATATTGTTAGCTGCCACCACTGCCTCCAGCACTCAAAGTATTACTGTTTTTGAATGTTGGGAGACTTAAGGTTCTTTAGCAAGGTTGGGAATGCTGGACAAAAAAATTCAGATTCCCTGCTCTGATTTTAATACACATTTTGCCTGTTTAAAGCAGCATTCTGTCTGATAGTATCTAGAGTAGTTTCAAATTGAAGGCCAGAAGTTACCTGCAAAGCCCCACATTTTCAGTATTTTGAGGGTATAGCAGCATGCTTTTCAACAAAAATGCTAGGTACTTGATACTGCCTAAATTGTATCACAGAACCACAGAATGGTTTGGGTTAGAAGGGACCTTAAGGATCCTCTAGTCCCAACCCCCTGCATGGGCAGGGACACCTACCACTAGACCAGGTTGCTCAAAGCCCCATCCAGCCTGGCCTTGAACACTGCCAGAGACAGGGAAGCCAAAGCTTCTCTGAGCAACGTGTGCCAGTGTCTCACCACCCTCATAGTGACAAATTTCTTCCTAATGGGTAACCTAAACCCACCCTCTTTCAGTTTAAAGCCATTATCCCTTGTCCTATTGCTACATGCCCTCATAAAAAGTCCCTCCCCAGCTTTCCTGTAGTCCCCTTCAGGTACTGGAAAGACTCTATAAGGTCTCCCTGGAGCCTTCTCTTCATGTTTAACAATGTCAGCTCAGCCTGAGAATAAAAACCTGAGAATAAAAAAATTATGCTAATGAGCCCTCATCTCCAAGGATCTTGGCCTGTGTTTCACAGGTCTTCAGTTAAGCACAGTGACTCATACATCCTTCTTTCCTTGGCAGTATTGTCCTTGCAACATACTTGGAGAATGGAAAAGTGTCCATATCAGTTGTCTTGGGCCATGCTGTGCAGGAGGTTGAAATACTGAAAGAAGGGGACGATGAAATGAAGCAACGTCTGTCTTGTATATTTGCACCTGAAGAAAGCACAACCTACAGCCCAGAGGAGCTCGAAGAGAGGAAGAACAACTTGAGGACTTGGCTAGAAACGAACCACATCCCTGTAACAGAGCAAGGTGAATCAGGAAGAACACTGTGTGTGGCGGGGGTATTAACTATTGACCCACCATACAGCCCAGCAGAGTGCAGCAGTTCCAATGAGATTATCCTGTCTCGGGTTCAAGGCTTGATACAGGGCTATTTTGAAAAACAGCAGTGATATCTGCTGTTGAAAAGCAGTTATCTTTAGGAAAGGGCTTACCTGCCCTATTTTAGGATCTTGGGTAACAATATTCACTGTTTGCAAAAATGCTGGGTTTAGGTACTTTTCTCTGAGTTTTGTAAGTTAAGAAAGGTATAAAAAAAACTGTATAAACTAAAAGCACAAAGCATTTTCCAGGCACTATTTTCAATAAAAAGCCATTGGATAATGATGTTGTATTAAAATCAGTTTATTATGTCAGTATTAAGCTGATATATCAAGTATTTTGTAACAGTATTGTGAAAGATGATACTGTAAACTGTGTTTTCCTCTGTCTTTAACATTAATTTAATTCATTATCTAGTAGTGAAAGCATGTTTATTTGAACTGGTTACCAGAATTTATTTTTACCAAAAGAGAATTGTGGCACTTGGACTTTACAAATCAGATGAAAAAAAACCATTCAGAAAGCTTCCTCCCCTCTCCCCCCTCCCCAGCTCTTCTCTTATTTTAGAACATTAATTATAATGTACGTCCAAGTTGGTAAAATTAAGGAGTTAAGAGGCAAATACCTGGTCGTAAAAAAAATTGTATTTATTATTTTAAAGCTGCAGTGATTGGAAGACCTTTGTTCTTTAGAAAGGTAATTTAATTCAGTAACCTTGTGTTTCTTCATGCCTTGTTTCTATCTTAGGGCAACACAATGGAAGAACCATTATGTGATTATTCCTGAGATTACTAATCCAATCAGGAGCATTTAGAGCTCTCATTTATCTTTTAAGCGTATTGCTTTGTTCTGTCTTACTATGATAGCTGCAGAACATGTTAGTGTGCTCAAATTCATTTGAAAAGTCTACCTCTTAATAAAAGGTCCTCCTTGTTCCTGCTGTGGTTTACTGAAAATCACATTTGTCAGGTCCATGCTGATTTTTCTTAAAAAAAGACTCTACTGCACATGTGCTTCTTCGTGTTTCTTCCCAAGAAGGCTGGTAGATGCCACCACATGGACGCTGCAGCTGCCTGCGTGGATGAACGGACCCACCCGGGCCTCAACTCCACTGTACCAAAGGCTAGTTGAGATGTATCTGGCGTGAGAGCCAGTGTGAGGTCACGCAAGGCTCAAAGAGATTTAACAACAACTAGCAAATGCCTCGTTCCAAGGAAGGCAGCACCTCCTACCTCCCTCCTCGCCTCCACACCCCGGCCTGCTCTCAGCAGGACCTTCCCTGACCACACGAGCGTCCACGACACCCGCCCCGCGGCGCTGCTCTCGCGAGAGCTGGCGGCACAGGGGGGAACTATC